CTCCCCCTCCCCCTCTGGGCTAGTTAAATGCCAATATTGATGGTGTTATCTCCCTAATGGACAAGCAGGTATTGGGTAGTTTTCTAGCATGAATTGGGGAAGGTCATTCCTGTGGTAGGAAAATCTCTTCTTCATCAGAATAGCTCGGTGGTGGAATTTGATGCGGTGCTCTATTTGGAAAGCTTGGTAGAAGTTTGGATGTATAAAACATCGAGGCTCGACATTGAGGGGGATAAAAGAATGGTTATGACTGCTCTTTGTGATAGCTTGAAGACCCAGGTGTGGAGCCTCCACCCCAACATAGGGGCTCAACTAGCTTTTTAAACTAAATTTAGACAAGTTGTGTTTTTCTTTGCAAATAGGGAATGTAACAAAGCAGACCATTTTTGTTCTCGGCTTGCTTTGGATAGGAATTTCATTTGGGATGCTCATAGTTGTGACTCTGCCTTTTTGAGCGTGGTGGCTGATGATGTCAACCGCGCTGTTTTTGTGAAACTTTTATAGCTTTTGATTTTATATTAATACTAAATGCAGTCAATTAAAAAAATAATAAACAAATAAAAAATAAAAAAACTAATTTAGCATAAGGCTTGCTAAACATATAGATCACCACAAAGACATACAATGGCAAAAAGCCTTTATTCCACTAAGTGGGGTCAGCTCACCACAAAAACATAAAAGCATATAAATTAAGTAGATGGGCAATAAAAAAGCTAAACTATAGAGTAATAAGCTAAACCATCCAATTCTTTTGTATTTACACATCTAGCACCTAAATTTTACTTTTTACATCTATACCACCAAAATATTTCATATCACATAAAAAATATCACTATTTTAACTTTTAAAAAGTGGAATACACATTTTCATGCATACGTAGGGTGGCATATATGTAAAATTTGAAGTATAGGTGTTAGATATGTAAATACATAAGAATTGAATGGTATGTAAGTAAATCTTCCTTTTAGGCGGTTCATCTCAAACTCACATCTACGTGTAAGCACCACTTGCACAAAATTCACTACCTAATCAATCTTTTGTCTGCAAGTTGGAGAAGAAACCGTTATACTTTCTTTTCCTCAAATTCCTCATTTACAGCTTTCTTTTCACAGTAGATAAACTTTTATCAAGTAGGAGATTTGAATCCTTCCTTGATTTAATCAGAAAGGCAGCTCAGGAAAGAGAACTTTAGGAGCCACAGACTCTAGAAAAGTTCATTCACTTTTCCATTAAATAAGCTTGTCATTTTAATTTGTGCAAGCAGATTTTTCCAAGATAATTCCTTAAAAACTTCTTAGACAAATTGCAGATGCAAAAGAAAGATAAACTTACAATGCCTCGACTCTGCCATCAACACATTGCACGCCATTCCAATTGCATGGATCTTCATCTTTAGCATCCCAATTTTGCAAAGCCTCAAATGGATCAATCTTAATTTTAGATCGAAAGGCCAATAATAAAAACCCTTCATTCCCAAACCAGAAACGAGCACCCAATAAATATCAGCAAGACAGACGCCACAAATTTGTTTTCACATTTCAATAAATCAGAAGCATTCTTCATACCTTCGGGGTTAAGTGAAAAGAATCCATGAAAGTGCAGCGGAAGGATTATAAATGGAAATACGACCTTCTGCAAATGAAAACCAAATAGATTCCATTCAACCCTCATCTCTTTCGGCAACACTAATCCACCACCAAAAAATTCAATCCAAACGCCACTATCTCCTGCTCAGAACACCCTTCCTCGATTCCGTCAAAGATGGATCAATCCCATCTTTCAGATGAAAATCCTCCCCTCCACTCTCTCTAATCATTAAATTCGAAGAAAGGAGCTCCGATAGCGCACTCCACCAACGGCAAACCCGATCCACAGAGCGAGATGAAGCTGCTGATAGTGAAAACGAAAGGGTTTTACCAGTTGGATCCGAGCTGAAGTGAGGAAATGGATGCCTAGATCCTAAACTGTAGAATAAGAGAATCGAACCAGGTGGATTTGTCTCGTTATCTATTGCAATTTGTGTCTCCTCTCTCTCTCTCTCTCTGGGACTGGGATAGGACAGCAACTAGCAACTATGGAAATGGTGTAGTGGCGGAAAGAGGTGGTAAAAGCTCGCCGGCGATGAAAAAAATGGTAGGCTCGCCGTGAGAGTCGGACTCGGACGCGGCTGGGCAAACTCTCTCTCTATCCTCATCTCGCCTTCTCTCTCTCTCTCTCCCGTCGCCCACATTTCATTAGGCGCGGATTCCTGGTATTGTTGGAAATATCAGACGGTCTTCACCCTCAAATAATAGCACATCCCAACCTCTAAGCGTAAGTTTGGGAGAGGATTTTTTTTATTATTATTATTGTGGGAAAATATTGTGTCTAAACGATCAATTATTAGGCGTTAGCTCTGTGTGCCTCTCACATGTGATATGAGATGATGCTCGGTGTTTAAGACATATATTGATCTGGATGCAATATTTTTTCGTGTTTATGATAGTCATTTCAATTTTATTTGAGAAATTTCAATGTTTCTTATGAATATTTTTTTGTAAAAATTTATTTTTTTCAACTTTATTGAAGTATAATGATTATATTAAAGTTGTTCTCTAATTTTTTTTGAAAAAATATATATTTATATTTCTCAGCGTAACTTTCTAAAAAGTTATTTTCTTTACTATAATTTTACACCAACTTTTGCGAAAGCAAGTGATAATGAGAGCTTCTTTGTTACTTTGGGGAAGGACTTGTGTGGGCTTCTCTCCTACAGTTAGGAGAGCTTCATCCGTGACATAGGCTTTGGAG